CCGCCTCCATGTAGGCGAGAAGCACTTGGAACTAGGGAGACCATTCTGCCTTTGCTGTCTGCAGACTCCGGGAGCAGGAGGCAAACCCCTCTCCCTCCTCTTACCTTCCAGCTCTCACCTATAGCTCCCCCAGGCTCTACCAACCTGGACACAAGCTTGTGGTGTGATTGGTAGCACCGGTTCCTGCAGCTTCCAGAGGGCTTAACTCAGCTCACATTGGCTCTCTGTCCTTGCTGCTTTGCCAGGGAGGTGGAGTCTTTGGTCCAAAGAAGAAAAGAAGAGACATTCTGGAGCACAGTCATGTGGACAACTGTGGATCCTCTAGCTCAGTTCTCAAAAACAATTGGCTTATTATACCAATTAAAGCAAGAAATGTTTGTAATTTTCATTGTAATTACAATAAAGTGCATTTTTTCCAATGCTAGGAAATCAAACCAAGGGCCTTGCCTACGCTGGGCAGTAAATGCTCTACCACTGAGCTGTACCCCCAGCCTGAACAGTGAGTTCTAAACCATCATCTAGAAAGCAGTAGCATCGGGTGCATCTCCTTGCAGACACCCACATAGTAGGGTCTTCATGGGTTCCTATCTGGCCACACCACATCCGGGGCTTCCCATCTCATTTGGTTTTATCTGGGGAACAGATAAGAGGGAGAACAATGATATCAGAGGCGCTCAACCAGCGGTGAGGCGCTGAGCTTGGGCACAGCTCTTGGCGCAGGCGCAGGGGGGAGCCCCGCCCCCCAGCTCCACATGGTTTGCAGGCAGAAGGCACAGGGAGATTTTGGGATCTCTTCTGGGTAATTCTGCCTGTTGTACCCTAGTCCTAGAAAAGTGAGTCTACATAAAGTGTTATTTTATCATTGTTAAGTGGTGTTTGTTTATTTGCAATGTAAAAGGACAGTACCATGTTAGAAAGTCTTATGTAACCAAAGAAATTTCCATATTAAGGAAGGAAATCCCTCTGATTCTTTTTGGGTTATGGGAAGAAGGTATTTTGTATAATTTAGCATCTAGTGATTTTTTTTTTTTTTTTGTACTGGGAATTGAGCTTAGGACCTTGTGCTTGCCAAGCAAGCACTATGCCACTGAGCTATATCCCCAGCCCTGATTTTTTTTTTTTATGAAGTCTTAACATTTTTTTTTTTTTTCCAGTACCGGGAATTAAACTCTCGACCACGTGCTTGCCAGGCAGGCACTGTGCCACTGAGCTAAATCCCCAGTCCCTTGTGAAGTCTTAACAAACTGTGCCTATAAAAAGAGTTCACTAACATGGTAAGTAATCAGCTCTGGCCTTTCATCTATCCACGAGGAACCAGGTCTCTCTCCTTTTGAGTCAGAAGGGCACAGAGGCTCACAGTGAAACAATTGTGAGGAGTATTAAGTAGACACAATCTGTTTATTTTTCTTACATACCAAGAGCTCAGGAAGTTGTCTGTGACTGAAACAACAGCTTAAAAATTTCATCAAGGGCCCAGGATCCCTGTAGTTCATTCTATTCTCTTTTGTGGGTAGCTTTTGTCCTTAGTTGCCACATGCTTGCAAGATGGCTAGAACACCTCCAGGCAGGGCATCCACATCCTAGGCAAAAAAGAGAAGGAAGGGCTGGGAATTTAGCTCAGCGGCACAGCACCTGCCTAGCAAGAGCAAGGTCGTGAGTTCGAGTGGAAGTTCTGGTTTCCCGGTACCAGAAAAAGAAAACCAAAAAAAAAAAAAAAAGGAAAGAGAAGGAGGAAGGAACAGTTCCATCAGAAAAGCAAGGCTCTCCCTAAAATCTCTAGTGGACCTCACTGGAGCCTCCTTGGTCAGAATGGGGGCCCATGGCCACCTGAACGCAAAGGAGTCTTAGAAAAGGAAATGTTTTGATTAGATATGTTTTTTCACCTCAAACAAAATCCACCACAAATGACTACTATCAACAACACCAAGCACTGCTCTGGCAGGGTTAGCCAATGCTAATTTTATTTTATTTTTTATGTTTTATTTTTTTAAGACAGAGTTTTGCTATGGAGTTCAGGCTAAACTCACTTTGTAGCCCAGGCTGGACTTGAACTCCTGCCTTAACCTCCCAAGTGCTGGGATTACAGGTGTGCACTACCAAGATCAATGCTAATTTTATTTTATGTATGTATGTATGTATGTATGTATGTATATATTTTGTCTTTTTGAGACAGGGTCTCATAATGCAGCTCAGGCTGGCCTTGAGCTCACTTTGTAGCCCAGGCTGGTCTCAAAACTTGCAACAATCCTCCTGCCTCAGCCTCCCAAGTGCTAGGATTACAGAATGCTAATCTTAAAAAAAAGAAATAAAGGGGGCTGGGGATTTAGCTCAGCATTACAGCACCTGCCTGGCAAGTGCAAGGTTGTGAGTTCGATTTCCGGTACTGGAAAAAAAAAAAAAGAATAAAGTGATTTATTTGAAAGGAGGCAGTTTTTTAAATTTCTGAGCAATATGACTGCCTATCTAGAAACCCCAATAAACTAATAAACTATTGGAAACCATCTAGAATAAGTCAGTAGTCACTAGACATTCAATAAAGATATATATATATGTATGTATATATACACACCCACACACAATCATTAGTTTTCCCATATAGTTCATATAAAAAGATTCAATTTATAAAACCCACACACCCAGAACAGATCTGAGAATGAATGTTAAAACATAACCGAAGAAGACTATATGACTTTTCTGGTGGTTAGAGGTAGTTTTTTGTTTTTGTTTTTGTCTTGTTTTGTTTTAATTTTGAGACAGGGTCTTGATAAATTGCCCAGGCTGACCTCAAGCTTTTGGGACCTGCCTCAGCCTTCTGGAATTACAGGAGTGTGCCACTGTGCCCAGCAATTTTCTTTTTTTAAAAAATTTCTTTTAAAATAAGGAAAAAAAACCAAGTGTGGTAATAATGAATCAAGCCTAGATTATATTTGTCTTTTGCTAACATAGTCATCAGGCATGAGGAAGCAACCCGGGGCTGTTGTGCTGAGAGCCGAGAACTGTATCACGAGAGGCCAGTACCTGCCCATCCTGAGGAAAGCCACACAGCCATCGCTGTAGCCTGGGCAAAGCTCCTGTGGACCCCCAACTCCTACACGTCCTCTCTTTAGGAGATGGAAGAGACTTTCCTACCTGATCAATATTAGACTTGTTTTGTTTGTTTTGAAACAGGTTCTCGCTATGTAGCCCAGGCTGGCCTCGAACTCAGTGTGATCCTCCTGTCTTGGCCTCCAAGTGTTGGGAATACAAGGGTGTGCCACCATGCCTAGCTACTATTGTCTTTTCTGAACAATCCAGACTCCTTGCCAGTTCTCTATTAGACTTTCTTGTCCATTAACAATACACTTACTGCTTTGTAAACATACAATCAAAAACACACTACAATACTTCCTTTATCTCAAAATCCTTACCTCTAGAAATCTACTCTAGGGAAACACCAAGGTATAACACAAAAAGATGCTCAACAAAGAATGATTTGTTATAGTGACAAACTGGGGAATTACTTCAACATCCAACAAAAGAATATCTAATAGACCAAACAGATTACTCTGTAACCATTTAAATTTATTTATTTATTTATGTATTTATTTTTGTCTTTTTGAGACAGGGTCTCGCTATATAGTTCAGGCTAGTCTTGAGCTCACTTTGTAGCCCAGGCTGGTCTCTAACTTACAATGATCCTCCTGCCTCAGCCTCCTGAGTCCTGGGATTACAGGCGTGTGCCACCATGCTTGGCGCCATTTAAATTTATACCAATATAGTGCTGGGCTTTGACTCAGTGGTACAACTTTTGCCTAGCATGTGTGAGGTTCTGAGTTCCATCCTCAGCACCACAAAAAACCCCCAAACTCTGTAAGGTCAGTTCAATTACTTGGGGAAAAAAAAATCCTACTATGCAGCTAAGTAAAAAAGATAAATAATGAATACACTATTCTTAAAGTGATGTAAAATTGTTATACAAAAGAAACAAGGTAATGTTTCAGAGGGCAAAATACAACTTTATTAAGAATTATGGGTGTTTTGTTTTTCTTAACTTTGTTCTTTTGAGACAAGGTCTTAGTATATATTCCAGGTTGGCCTTGAACTCACAGCAATTCTCCTGCCTCGGCCTCCTGAGTGCTGGGATTGAAGGTGTGTGCCACCACACCTGGCTACCTTTTGAGTTTTGCTCTTTTCCTGGGCTAGTCATATGCTGTTTGAGCCTCTCTTGAAATGTTGGGCGGTGGCAGTGAGCAGCTCCCAGGCAGCCCCATGATCAGAAAGAGAAACAGCCCGTATCCTATAGTGTTAAGCTGTGATGTTTGGTAGGGTAAGTGGAATAAATCCACTTTCAACTTACAGTATTTTCAATTTACAATGGGTTTCTCAGGACATTACCCCATCTTAAGTAAGGAACACTTGTACTGTCTTTCTGAGTGTGTAGAGCCCCAGAACAGGATTTGTACAATAGCCCCGTGTGGGATAGCCATGGAGACAATCACCTCCCTGGGCCCTATGGTGGGGCCTCCACGCTGACCTGAGCCAAGGAGTGCCGGGAGAGGCCCCACAAGGCAGTGTCCATGACCCACAGTGTGTAGCCTGCCCAGCACTGGCCAGGGATGGCAAGCTGCCAGATACCCATTGCCCCATGGAGCCTGTCTTCCTCCACCCTGAACTCAGCATGGGCGCTCCCAGCTTCACACTGCAGACTAAATACTAAGGTGGGGGGCTGGGGATTTAGCTCAGTGGCATAAGCGCCTGCCTGGCAAGCGCAAGGTCGTGAGTTTGATCCCTGGTACCATCAAAAAAAAAAAAAAACAAACAAACAACAAAAAACCAAGGTGGGATGCTGGCAGGTCAGGGTCTACTGCGCTGATGCGGGGTTATGTTGAAACAGCTGCAGGGACACCCCTGGTCCACAGAGCTACTCACAGGAGACTATTCGCAGGCAATTCACTTTTTTCCAGAGGTTTACCATTCTAGGTTATTCCCCCTTCTGGGATATAATAATGCTCACATGGAAGTAAGAACTCTAATTCTTCTGTTTATTATTATTATATTATTTTAAAACATTAACAGTTTATAGAAGAGATTCCTGATGGAAACCAGGCAGGAGCCCATCCCAGGACCCAACAACTGCCCCAACTTCTTATCTGCAGGCAAGATGCCCCTTGTCAAGGACCTCCAGCCCCATCAAGGATGACAGGATGTCCTCAAATGGTCTCAAGGCCCTTCTCCTGAAGTGTGTCCCATCCTGGGGAGCTCTCACACTAGATGTCCTGGCTGGAGGATCTGAGCAGGGTCACGTGCAAGGCTCTGGCATCTGGAAGAACAGGTGGTCCGGTTCTAGGAGCCCAGGAGAGGTTATCGTGCCTCACTTGTTGGGTAGCTGAGGAAGAAACAGCCCCGCACCCTAACTGTCAGGTTTGGTCCCCAGAGGGAAATTCCTGCTAGGTGGGGGCTGCACCACACACAAAAGCTTTGCCATGTCTAATGCATTTATTGGGTCCATGTCGCCCACCCCTGAGTCCCCTGCACCCAACAGACTGCCGGGCATGTAGTAGGTGCTCAGCAAGTGTCTGTTGAACTGGATGGCAAAGGGCTTCTCTTCACCATGCAGCAGTCTCTGGTGCTCCAGGAGGTGCGAGCTCCAGCTGAACATTTCTCCACATTTGTCACACTTCAAAGATTTCTCCCCAGAATGAACCTTCTGATGTTTAATCAGACAGTGGTTCTGGCTGAAGGCTTTGCCACACTCATGACATTTATAGGGCTTCTCCCCGGTATGGATGCGCTGGTGCACGATGAGGGACGAGTGGCAGCTGAAGGCCTTCCAGCACTTGCTGCAGTCGAAGGGCTTCTCCCCGGTGTGGATGCGCTGGTGCACGATAAGGTAGGAGTGCGAGCTGAAGGCCTTCCCGCACTCGTTGCACTTGAAGGGCTTCTCCCCGCTGTGGATACGCTGGTGCACGATGAGGTACGAATGGCAGCTGAAGCCTTTCCCACAGTCCGTGCACTTGAAGGGCTTCTCACCGGTATGGATCCTCTGGTGCAGAGTGAGGCGCGAGCGGTTGTTGAAGGCCTTCTCGCACTCGGTGCATTTGAAAGGCTTGTCCCCGTTGTGGATCTTCTCGTGCACGGTGAGGGATGAGTGGCAGGTGAAGGCCTTGCCACATGCGCCACATTTGTAGGGCTTCTCGCCAGTGTGGATGCGGTGGTGGCGGGTGAGGTGCGTGCGCTGGTTGAAGGCCTTGCCGCACTCACTGCACTTGTAGGGCTTCTCGCCCGTGTGTACCCGCAGGTGCATGTTGAGCAGTGAGCTGCAGCTGAAGGCCTTCTCACAGGCGCTGCATTTGTAGGGCCGCTCGCCCGTGTGGATGCGCTGGTGCACGTTGAGGGACGAGTGGCAGCTAAACGCCTTCCCGCACTCGCTGCAGAAGAAGGGCTTTTCGCCCGTGTGGATGCGTTGGTGCTCGATGAGGTTGGTGCTCCAGGTGAAGGCCTTGCCGCACTCGCGGCACTTGTAGGACTTGGAGCGGCCGTGCCAGCGCCGGTGCAGGGCTAAGGACGCGCTCTGTGGGAAAGTCTTCCCGCACTCACCGCACACAAAGACACCCTCCCCAGTGCCCGCCCCACGCGGCCTGGACTTGAAGGACCTGTCTCCCGGGCAGGAACTTGAAGTTCTCTGCTGGTCTCTGGTGACCATCCCAGTGGACTGGATGTCCGTGGTACGCCTGGCAGGAGAGTGTCCTTCTGAAGGGGCACTCTGCTGGGCGAACAGAGAGCAGTGGAAGGGGGAGCCCTCTGTGGAGTCACTGCGTCCCCAGTAGCTCTGCTCTGTGGAGATGTCCCCAAGGGTGGCAGGCACTTGCTCCCACTGCACAGCCTGGTTTCTCCACACTACTGCCGGGGCCTCCCATGCTGTACCCCGACTGGTATTGTGAACGCTGGGCCTCCTCCACTGCTCTGTGACTGCCTCCTGGAGTGGTGGTTCTTTGCAAAATCCCTGCTGTAGAAGCTGCTCCTTCACCTCAGGCACAGACCCCCACTCTGTAACATTGAAAACAGAATTAACCGTGAGCAGGCAGAGGCAGGGCCCTGGAATGCACACCGGACAGCTGACCTGGAGAAGCAGAAAAGCTCAGGAAAAAGTAGACAACAACAGGGCCAAAGAGCTGGAAGCAAGGCAGAGGGACAAGAGAGGGAAGGCACGCATCGAGCCAAGAGGGTGGCACTGAGGAAGGGAACAGAAGCTGAGATGGGCAGGGCATATGAGCAGGAGAGGGAAGTACTGGGGTGCTACTGGGCCAGAGGACCGGCCCCTTCTACCTGTGTCAACTGCTCACCTGAACAAGATCCTCCACAGCCTTCCCTGTACACTCGCCATGGCTCCTCTCCTCGTTCCAAATGGGAGATCACATCCGGCTTGCAGACCGGAGGCCCTGCTCGCGGGGAGAAAGCATTGCAGCTAGGTACACCGCAGCCCTCTGGCCCAGCTGTCCTCATGGGACAACCCATGAATGATGACAAGCTGTTACAAAGGGTGCACCATTGATAGGGAACATGAGGCTGTCTGGGCCCCAAAGTAGAGAGGGGTCTCAGAAGCCAAACCCAAGTGGTTGTGGATGCTCTGAGGACCCCACATGACACCTCCCTCTGCTGCCTGAGGAAAACTTCACGGCAGATGGGCTCTAAGTTTGCCTTCTTTCCCCCAGCAGCCCTCCCTCTCTGTGCTCCCCATTCTGGGACCAGTTGCAACTCCAAGTAAGGATGCCCCTAGCTACAATGCAGGATCTTGGGGACTTTAGGTGTGGCTGAGCCCCTGGTCCAGGTGTCCTGAGGTAGAGACCCTATTTTCCAACTCATGCCATGTCTGGCATCAGTACTACCATGTGGAAACAGGCCTGAGGGCAGACACCAGCCTTGGGTAGGGAGGCACCCTACCCAAGGCAACAAGGTTCTGGTAGTTCTCCAGCATCACATCCCGGTACAAGGCCCTCTGAGGGGAGTCCAGTTGACCCCACTCTTCCTGGGTAAAGTCCACAGCCACATCCTTGAATGTCACTGATTCCTGAAATGACACATACAGGACAGAAGTGATTCTATGTCCATGATGCCCAGGGAGCCACAGATTGATTAAGGACCTTATGAGGACAGAATTAACTAAATGATCTTCTCCCAAGGATAGAAGGTTGTGCTGTAGAGACAGTGACCCCAGCAGGCTGAGGGCTGGGGCTGGTGGTGCTGAGAACTGACACGCACACACCCCCATCTTTCACCCCCTGCTTCTGGAATGCTAAGTGAGACTAAATGGACACCATGGCATCCTGTGAATTCCATGTGTCCTGGGGCCTGCACACGGCTGCTGAACCATGTCCTAGGTAAGATGATATTATGCTTTCTGGGGCTAAGAACTTCACATGTAAAAAACCTGAAAGCACCATACAAAGAACCCAGAAACTCTATTCAAAATGTACTACTTGCAGTTAAGTTCCAACTGCAAGAGAAGGCACCAAGATGACAGAGTGGTAAGCAGCAGAGAAAGTGGCTCTCTGAGTGCTGCTGTCCAGATGCTGGAATATAGCAACATGAGGAAGATAAGAGCAAGGGAAATGGGTCCCCTGGACCCACTCAGGAGGGACCTGAGGCATGAATTGAAGCCCACAGAAAGAGTGAAGAGAGAAACTTCAATGAAGAGGAAGGAGGTAGCTGGTGGTGCCTTCTCCTTGAGACAGGACTCACTGTGCAAGAGCAGTGGTTCAAACCTGTGGACATACAGTGACTGCTGGTAACCCCGGAGGCCTCCACAGAGAGACACAGCAGTGGAGGGGAGCAGTAGATGTGAAGGACTGCACTAGCTGGGGGTGAGTGCTTAGGGCTCAGTTGTCTCGCATGAAAGAGAGTAATCGGCCGGGAACAATCTTGGAGAGGAGCCAGCTAAGCTCAAAACTCAGAGCAGCTTCTGGCTCCACCTAGCAGCTCCTAGCTGGGTTCAGGCCACAGAAAGGTGCACTGATGGCTGCAGGCCAAATGAGTCTGGTCATAGCCAGAAGGTGCAGGCTTGCTGGGATTATCCACTACCCCACCAAAAAGCTACTGCTGGCTTGCTGGGATAGATCAGCAGAGATTGGGGCTCTGTCTGCACATATTGTCTACCAGTGACAGCAGAGACAAACCTGCAAGTGGACGGTTTTGTTCTCTCTCTTATATTTTTTTGTTGTTGTGGTGGTATTTTGTTTGTTTATTTCTCCTTCATTGTTTGATCTTGTTTTTATATAAGTGTGAACATGGTTTCTAGCCTCTTTGTGGTAGTTGTTCTGTTCCTCTTTTTATCTCTTCCTCTCTCTTTCCTTCCAGTCTTCTGTACCAGTTTCCCAAAGTTAAAGTGATTCTCCTGTCTTCCAGCCTTACTTCTAATCTGTTCTTCTTCTACCTCTCTATTTTTCCCCTAACCCCTTTTAAATTTTAACCCCTAAGGGTAAAATGGACATATTAAGGACATACACTGCATATAATTTTCTGGTCTGTTTTAGATTTTGTTAAGTAAGTATAAATCTAGTTCATATAGTTAAAGGTGGCAAATTAATGGTTACCTTGATTTGTCATTTTCTAGGCTGTAATTATTGTTACTGTTATTGCTGATGGCACCACTTTGGCCAAAAGTGACATAATTGTTCTAAACAGCTATTCTTCCTGGTATTCTAAGACTGAGATTTGACTAAGGGTCATAAAAAATACTGTGGCACAGTGCCAAAGAACCAGGGGCTGGTCCAAACAGGCAGAAACTTCTCATCACCAACAAATTGAAGACATAGGATTTTACAACAGACTCACACCCCAAAAACCAGTTACATCTAGAAGATAACTCAGACATTTAAACAAGGTGCAATCCCAGACAACCAGTTCACCAAAGGCAAACCCAGGGGACAGTGAGGTGGGCCAATCTGAAAGTCACCCACCTGGCTACTCCGAAGTGGTAACAACAAAGCAATTAAATCAGGCTCTAGAAAAAATCAAGTCGGAAATAATTTCTCAGATACTTGCAGAGATGCTGTCCACAATGAAAACCATGTTTAGTGACTATAGCAGATACAGACAAAAAGTAGAGGAGCCTAAGAAAGTTATGGATGCCACAAATGCTCTGCATAAGTAAGAAATGGAATCCATAAGGCAGATTCAAGTAGATATCCAGGAGAATAAAAATTCCATTGAAAGTATCCACAGCAGATTAAGTTGATGGAGGACAGGATCTCAAATATAGAAGACAGGCTTGTAGTTAGCAATCGTGAAAAGAAAGACTCCTTAAAAATGGCAAGGAACCATGAGAAGTCAATCCAGCAGCTAGCTGCTAGATGACGCAAAAAAGAATAATTTAAGACTCACTGGAGTCAATGAAAAAGCAGGAGATAGCACAAATGATATTAAAAAACAAACAAATCTGTTCACAGACATCATGGCAAAAAACTTTCCTGGTAGAGAAAAAGAATTTGACATACAGTTAAGTGAGGCAAATAGAACTCCAATGATCAAAAAATCTGCAGTCAGGCATATCATAATCAAGATTCCAGAAATTCAATACAAGAATAGAATCTTAAAAGCTGTCACGGAAAAGAAATAAATCACCTATAAAGGAAAGCCCATCAGAATCATAGCTGACTTCTCAGCACAAACCCTCAAGTCAAGGAGAGCTTGGGGTGAAATATTTCAAACTCTAAAGGAAAACAACCTTCAACTCAGATTGATGTATCCCACAAAACTATCTTTCAAAACCAATAGAGAAAGGTACTTCCATGACAAAGAATATCTGAGGAAAGTTATGACCACCAAACCAGCACTCCAAAATGTTCTGAAGAACATTCTAGAGAGAGATAACAAGGATTACAACCCCAAGAACTCCAACAGAAGGAATCCACCAGGCAAGGCAAACAACTAAA